TAAATTCCTGGCGTCAGATTTATAAAGGATTGCGTGGAAACCATACTAAAAATGAACGTACGGCCAAAAGGCGAAAATGGCATACGCCAAAAAAAAAATTCAGATTTATAAAATCGTACRCGTACRCATGTTTCTGCGCACATTTCATTCATAAATCACAGCCGCACGTCAGACTTTGCGCACGAGGTCCCGCCTCAGGTTCTACCCTCTACACGCCCACATTCAACCATAAACAGTCAATGTAAAGTACCTCATGAATGTTAAGATATATTTAAATCAGTCAGCTGATCAATGCCAATAAAAGTGATTGGTTCAGACACACTCCGTCGTGCGTCTGGAGGATGGCAGGTACTGCTCACGTGAACAGATTGTCTGTAACTGACAGATTTTCTCTGATTTTGCAGGTTTACAGATGTTTAGAGTAATCTAATGATTTTTATCAAAAACTCAGCTTCAAATTAATTTTCTCTCAGAGCCTGCAAGATGATAAAAACAATAAATAAAATTAAATGTCAGATAAACTTAGAAATAATTTCACCACTCGTCTCCCCGTCCTCTCCCTCCTCTGTTATCTGCGGCAGACCCCCCCCCACAGCCAAAGCATACGCGCGCACGCATCCCGTCCTCGCGCGCGACAAATACGAAATACGGACTTTAAAAAGCAACGTTTTATAGTAACATCCACACTGGTGAGGGTGGGCGTGCCCTGCGCGTACCCAAAGCGTGATGCCGTGCTGTTGAAACGTGTCTTGTTCTTGTCAAGGAGGGGTCTGAGGGTCAGGGTCGTGAGGAGGAGGAAAGAAATTAATGTGTTGCATGAACTTTTATTTAAGATTTAAGTTTTTTATTTCAAAGGTCCTTCTGGTTCAGCAGCAGAAGCATAAATATTACTGTACTAGCTGATGATAAAGCGGAATAAAAATCTAAGTCCGATTATGAATTGAAATTAAACATCTGACAGTGATCATTACACAGTGTGTCCATAATTCCTCACTTCACCATCTGTGTCGCAGTTATGCGTCTCCAAAATGAGCATACGCATGGGTCAGAGTTGGCGTGAGGGACCACACATTTTCACGTCAAGTTCGGATTTTATAAATCACAACCTTTGCGTGAAAAATAGCGTACGCAAGTTTCTGGGGTCATATTGTGCGTACGCCAGTTTTATAAATCCAACCTCTGGTGTTTTCATTAATAATATCAACCAAATTATCACAAAAAAACTGAAATTGTTTGCTGGATGTGTAACCAAACTGAAACTGGTAGGAAAAAGTGGTGTATGCGTCATACAGTAGTTTCACTAATCTGCTAATAGCAAAGCTAATGTTTAGTTAACCAGATTAGCATTTTGCTAACTTTGGAAAACACCAGCAGACCAAGGGCGACCTCCACTCGTGACACATACATGTCGCTTAGCGGGTTTTCAGAACCCTCTAAACATTTTTCCAAAAGGTGACAAATGTAGCAACTTTTCACTATGTTTTTGGAGACTTTTGGTGGTTTTGACAACTTCAATTTCCTCAGCAAGCAGCGAGTGGTGCCTTGACCCCCTCCCCCTTTCCAAAGCAGTCTGACACACTGAAACCTCGCGCCTTCTTTGACACATCTCACTAAAATAAATCCTATGTTTGACTGCAGCCGGGTCCAGCCAGGACTGCTGTTTATACAGTACTTCGAGTCTTGCATATTGTTCCCCCTGCTGAGTGACAACAAATTGTATAACTTCTGTCTGCTCTCCCGCTGCTATCCCTAGTGACAGCCGTCGTGTATATTTCCCCAGTCAGAACTCTGTGATGCGGACCTTGCAGCTCGGAGCGTGTGATTGGTTAAAACTTTGTGGGTGTGCTTGTTCGTGAGGAGCAAGACATTGCTGAGGAGCAGCTCTTTCTTCTGCATTATATTTTGTTTTAAATGATTATTTTTTTGTCTGAAGCCTGTTGTTAAGAGATAGAAGAGCAGTTGGTTTAATCCTGTTGAATGTGAGCATGCAGCTGGTCTTCACGTCTTTTTTCCATCACTACCATTAACGAAAAACAAAACAAAAAAAGTTTTTTTCGTCCACGGACTCTTCACCTTACTCAACACTAATGGTTGAATGAAATAAAATACAATATCCAGTCATCATTATTGTTTTTTTATATGAGCTATAGGAGGGCAGAGGGAGGAATTATGATCATTTATGGCCYGCTGTGTTTTCAGCCCGTTTACTCTTGGTCAGGAAAAGACGTACGAAATGACGCAATCACCGATCTGCTGTCTCACGTCATATTGAAGTATAACCCAAGCTTCAGTCACTTCTGCACCTTGTCCACCCGGTGGATGGGTGTTGAGCAGACGAAGTCATGTGACCAGTGTTCTAAAAATAATCTTAAGTCAAGATCGCCATTAGCTTCCACTAAATTTAGTTTTGCCAACGAACTGTTTACATCAATTTGTGCCGTTTGTTTACTTACCAATTCAGCTGCTTGTGGTTTTAATTGTGTTTGGTGGATATTGAAATGTTTTTATGAGCTTTAAGTCAAGATTCTGACATTTCTCACACATATAAGTTAGCTGTTATCAGTTATAAGTTAGTGGATTGGCGGTTAGTGAAGCTAACTAGTTGTGCCCGCCACTGGTGTTATTTTTATTACATCATAGTGTTTCCGACAATCCACCACCTGCAGCTACACCATCAGTTACATGCAAATCTCGCTTCATCCTTAGACATTTCTGGCATTGAGCCAGTTTAACCAGGAAAAAAAGTTGTTTTCAAAGTTTTTTTTCTGTTTCTCTCTCACCTCATAATTTTTTTTATTTGCCTCTTCCCTCCCTTAGTTAGTTAGTTTTCTTTCCTGCCATCTTCTTTTCTTTTGATTTTTGTCATGTTTCTTGTCTAGTTTGAATGTTGTGGGGCCAAAGATTTCGAGGACTGGAAAGTCAACATGTACCACAACTGCACTGCACCTGGTCCACTAGCCTGTGGGGTCCCGTATACCTGCTGCCGGACCACTAAGGTATGTCCTGCACACATTATTACCACAACAAATGTTATATTAGTGTTACAGTAATACTCATTTTATGTTCATCTAATAATTACTGATCCCTACTGTTAACAATTACTACTACACAATTACCATCATGCAGCTCTGACAACAATGACCTATATGAACTATAATTTAAAATCTATTATTAGAACCAAACTCCCACTAAGTAAAAAACTTCATGTTAAAATGACTTCTATTTAAAGCCCTCATTTATCACCTGAGTATTTTCAGCTGCATATGTTCAGTCTGTTTCATTTTCCTGCTACAAAAACAACTAAAATAAGAGGCACACTTAAAAGTCTGTAAATTATGCAGAAAAATGCCACCAAGCACTAAGTGGGATTTGAACACTGAAGAGGTTGATTAGACGTCTGAAAGCACTTTTTCAGTGGAACAGTATATCATCAGTGTTTAAAATGTGTGTGTGTGTGTGTGTGTGTGTGTGTGTGTGTGTGTGTGTGTGTGTGTGTGTGTGTGTGTGTGTGTGT